CCTCGCGGGATCTCGCTGACCGGGGCTGCGAAGCGCCGCGGGGCGCGCGCCCAGGAGCCCGCTGCGGACGGAGGCTCAGGCATTGTTCCTGCCGCCGCCCAACGCGCACCGAAGTGGAGCCGCCTGGCTGCCGGGTCCAGAAATGAAGACTGCAGGGACGATGGCCGAAACGGCCCCCGCCCCGGAGTCCGGCGTGTGCGGCCCAGCCGGGTCCCTGGCACAGCGAGGGGCAGGACGGGCTCAGCGGAGGACCAGCAGAGAAGTCGCTGGAGGCGGGGAGGACCAGAGCCCGCGCGAAGAGGCCGACAAGGGCACTGGTGACTCGGGGGAAGGCATCAGTTCAGTCCATGGGCTCTGCGTCTCCGGTGGTTCCCGGAGCGCGCAAAGCTGCGCCTGAGCTCTAGTCCTTACCCAGCGAACCCCCTACCCCTACCTTCTTCCTTAGTTTGAATTCTTGGGCTGGTGGCTCCCCCCAATCACCCCCACTGAGCACCAGGCTGGGCCCTGAAGGCTCTGAGCAACGGGTATACCATGAGGTGCACTGAGTAGAGAAACAGGCCTTTATTCTGGACAGGGGTGGCTGGGAGCTCAGTCTCCTAACAAGATAGCGGCCTCGCGTACGTGCTGCCGGACCACGCGATCCAGCACCGTGTGCACGTCTCGGGCTGCCCGGGCCGCGGTCTCTAGCACCTGCTCCAGGTGATCCTCATGCAGCCGGGCATCCATTTCAAGCAGAGCAATCTGGCCTGAAGCTGGCAGCAGGGCCAGAGCTAGTTGGGGACCCCCAGCGGCTTCTTCCACATGGCTGAGGTCTGCCAGGGCTGTGCTGTCCACAAATCCTGCTGAGCATGCGCACACAAAGTCCCTCATGGGTATCCCGGCATCCATCACTGCCAGAGTGGCTGCATTCACACAAGCTGCGTAGGTCCCACCATCTGCTTGCAGCACCTACAGGGGGCAAGCCATCAGACTGCCATTCTGCCCTCTGGCACCTCAGCCCACCTTCATACTCTCCAGCCCTTCTCCCTCCTTGGGTTGAGGCTGCTCACCTGCACATAGATGTCAATCTGAGAACGTGGGTGCAGCTGGGTAAGGATAGCTGCTTCGAAGGTCTGACGTAACTGCAGCCCCATCTCGCAGGACTTTCTGTCCCCATGTGGGCGTCGCTTTCGCTCCCCTGTGCTAAAGGTGGCTGAACTATACTGACAGTTCACCAGGGCTCGGTCAGGCAGGGCTCTTGAACGGGAGCCCCGAATCTGGAAGAGAAAAGATGTGAGTCAGGGCTGGGAAGGTGGCTCAGTGGTAGAGCGTTTGCCTTGCATGCCTGAGGCCATGGGTTCAATTCCTCAGCACCACATAAACAGAAGAAGCCGAAAGTGGCGCTGTGGCTCAAATGGTAGAGCGCTAGCCTTGAGTTGAAGAGCTGAGGGACAGCGCCCAGGCCCCACGACCAGACCCCCCCCCCCAAAAAAAAAAGATATGAGTCAGACCTACCCCTCCTGTCTTACATTCTCCAATCTTAACATGGCTCATCCCACCTCCTTTCTACCTCAGAGCAGTGCAGCTATATTTTACCTCCAAGGCATACTGGAGGGAGGGCCACTTGCCAGTCTAAGCCACATCACCTATGACCTGCTTGGCTCTTTCTGATTGCTCCATTCCCCCCCAAACTAATCACAGGGTGACCCGAGTGTCCCCTTCATACCTACACTCTATGCACTCTCCAAATCCTTCCCCCCCAGGCCTACTAAGCCCTAGATTCTTACCTCCGTGTAAACCCCTCAACTGAATTTGGAGCTCCTGCCCTTCTCCCTACTAATAGACTTTCTGCTCTGCACAGATGCCACACGTGTCTTCCTTCTACCTAGCTTCTTCCATCTAGAAAGCTACGTTCCCACATTCGTACGTTGGTCAGACACTGTTAAAAGTGCTGAAGATGCGCCACTTTAAACCGAAATGATTTTAAGCCCCTATGCTCAAGGAGTGTATGGCCCGGAGAGAAGTCATAGGATGGGATGAAGGGAGTTGACGTTTGAGGCGGTAGGTGCCCACAGGCCAGTTGGCCTGTTGTCGTTGGCGGCGTGGAGACCTGCGGGTGAGGAAGCTGAGCGAGTGCGGAGCCGCCGAGGGGCGGGCGGGCGGGCGCGCGCGCGTGTGCGTGTGTGCGCGTGCGCAGCGGGAGGACCCGGCGCTCAGGCGAGACGCGGTCCTGGGCCGCGCCGCGCCCGCGTCGCCCACTTGCCTCGTGCGGCCCGTAGACGACCGCCAGCGCCTTGGTGTTGCCCTGCTCGATGTAGGCCGAGCCGTCCGCCTGCGCGAACACGCCCATCCGCGCCTGGATCTTGCGCAGCTCTCCCGCGCGACGTCCGTCCACCCGGTAGCCCTGGTCGGACAGGAGCTCCAGGCCCGCCATACTGTAGCCCGGCTCTTTACTTTCCGGAGACCGCGGGTTCCATACGGCTTCCGGCGGCTCGGACCACTTCCGGCCCTGGCTCTACGGCTTCCGACGGCCCGGTCTGGTCCTGTGAACTAGGGTTCCGGCAGCCCGGTCCGTCTTCTCTCCCTTCCG